GATGTGACCCACCGGTAGGTCACACTATATTTCAACAAGCAACTTAGTAGAAAAAACTTTCTTTCCTTTTTTCTTAGGTGCAGATGACACATAATGTGTCATCTGATGTGTCATCTGCTCTACCTTCGCTATTTTTTGAATCTGACAACAGCTGGAGAGGGAGCCGAAAACCAGCGATATTTTCAAATTTGGAACTTTTTCTTCAAGCTGTTTCAGTTTGTGGAGGATACTTCGAAGTATATGTCTGGAAGTTTTCCCAGATTATTTACATTATTTGGCTGAGAAAAAAATTAATTACATAAAAAATGTTGTTAAGTCTTTGAGCACCGGGCTATCATTAAAAAATTTCCTATCTATTCTTCATTCTTCGTAAAAACTTGGTCCTTGTCTGCATTGATAGAGAAATGTGCGGAGAATATGTACGATGAGAAAAGATGTAAAAAATTTTGTTTTTTCTTCCTGTTATTGACTAATTAGTATCCATTAACGTTAAATTAGTATAGTTTACTAGCTTAAAGTCCCATTATTTGTAAAATAACAACTCAACGAAAAAATTCAAGCAATTCCTCATTTGGTACAGAATTTCACGGGCTACAAGATGGGCTATCTTAGAAGTTTTAAAATTCATTTTTGAGTGCTGAGTAGGTCTGGTTTCTTTCCCCACGGAATAATTGATCAAGTGTCTTGCTACGCCTGAGTCTGTAATAGTAAAGCGAGAGACAGTAATTGAACGGAAAAAACAAGTTCGTTCAAATCTCTGACAGGTCCCTATTACAGCGATATGACTGAGTATAATCGAGGTGTTTTCCAATATTGTCTATCTATATATTTATAAATTATCTACGAAAACTTTTCCATACCATACTCTTTCCATTGAGTTCCTCGCCTGGGACTGGATATGTTAGGTGCTGGAACTATTATACCTTATGATTGTTTTAATCATAGCGAAATACCACAAATAAAAAGAGGCTAATATAAAGGGTGGCCCAAAAGTCACTTTTCTATTAAATGTTTATTCATATTGACTTGTGTTTAAAAGGTTAATATTTAAGTTAAAAGATAAAGAATTTAATTCTCTACACTGTAAAAAATAAAGTGGGTCACCAGTGAGTAAAATCGTCTCAGTAGGTAAAACGGATCCATTTAGATGGGTCACTTCTCACTAGGTCTCCTAGTGGGTCAAATTCTACTGAGCTATTTTTAGTGGATACTCTTTTCTCAGTGGGGCACAAAAAGGCAAGTACAGTCTTTTCTTTTTCAGATTGTAGTAAGATAGAAAGAACTGAAACGTAGGATAAACTGTAATAAACTTGGTGCGTATTAATTTCCTTATGGATGATATTGCAAAAAAAAGTGGAAGGCACATTAGTGACCTATGTTTATTAATTTTCTGGAGAAAATGGTTGCCATCCATATTTTATTCTGTGAGAACTTAAAACGTTTTTTTTATAAATCCTCATTATGTGATGCTTTAGTTCAATTTAACAAGAGACGCTACCTAAAACTAGATTCAAACAAAGGCTGCGCTCTACTGTAGCATTCGAGGGGAAATTTTATTGTGCACTGACTAGGTGTAGATTGCATTATAAATAACCACTTACCGATTTAAAAATCGAACAGAAAAGGGTTTCCACTTTAAAATATATTCGGCCTTCGTAGCTTGACACTGAGAAAAGTTTTGCTACTGTTCAAACATTTCCCCGCAAACTACAGAAATTATTTAGCATACTAACGGATGAGCTATAATAAACAGGTCAAAATGTTTTCCTATTTCTGAGAAACTTTCCTTTAATGCGGAGACTTGGCTTAGGGCTCATTCGTTAGAATTAAATTATATTAACACATTCGCCACGATGAGACCCACCGGTGGTAATAAAATAGCGACTCAACGGAAACATTCAAGTTCGACTGTATGTAAATTTTATGTATAAATAGCTGTATTTTTAAGAGACATTGAGTGGTACTTACCAAATAAAATAACCGAGGTAGAAAATTATTCAAGTTCATATTTAGTATATGAGGTTCTTTTCTCCACTCTTCCTTGACATCAACTGTGTAGGAATATCTACAAGATATATCAGATGCACAAAAGAGATATGTCCTTATTTACTAGATACTCAGTAGCTTTGAATAATTGTTTACTCTACGTCATATATGCTAAGTAGTATATCATGAACACAAAGGAAATGTGTTTTGTCTCGATGTTTGTATACAGTCAATCAAGTATAACGAAACCGGTATTGTTTTTATACCCGATTTTGACATTTTCTTAATTTCACCATAGTTAGCCTTCTTTTGAAAACGAAAGTTCACTGCACAAGGTGAAACAGAAAAATTTTTCTTAACAGAAGCGTGTATGCACTGATCAAAAAAATTATATGAGCTAAAAATATCGTGATGGTATTATTATCTAATAAAGATTCTTTCCATTCGAATTGTCGAGATCATTCGACAATTCGTTGCTCGCTTCACGCTGAACGAAAATGGGTGCCCGGTGCAAACTTTCTGGGTGAATCCAACAGCGAGTTTCTACTAATTTCATTTTGACTTCTTCTCTGACGTCGACATAATGTACGTGATTTTTGCCTAAATATTATTTTTCTATTTAGCGCCTTTTATTCGACTCATTTTCATCTAATTTAGTTAAGCGCGAAGCGAGCACCAAATTTCCTACTGAGATGAATTTTGAAAATGTCCGATTGAAGTAATATAATGGTTGCTAAACACTTTTTACTGCACGACTTTTAGTGAGAATTGGTTGCACAAACCCTTAAACAATGATAACATATCAAACAAGGACAAGGAGAAGAGCACAAAAAAACAGAAAAAAATATTTGACGGTGATTACTTAGAAGTTTAACAATGTTGCCGTTATCAGAATACATTAAATGAACGACTGCACGCATTTTAGTTCTTTTCAAGTGTTTTATCTTACATTTTCGTTCTTTTCTAGAATATTTGTTCTATTTTTATAAAATATTTCTTTTTCATTCTTTTGAAAGGGAGATTAGTTATATAAAACTTCTCGAACACTTTATCTTTTTACTAATTTTTACTCTAGATATTGATGTCATACGAAAAAGCTTTGAAAAGATTGCTTCTTTTGTGTTAAGTGTTTGAGATATTATATATTGATACGAACAAAAATTAGAGTACTCATTCGTTATATTATTTTAGATTTTTTGTACACCTTTTTATCAAATCTGGTTTATACAACAAGAGCTGCATCATGAATAAAGTGATTATTCAAGTATTAGTTGTGTTAAGTGGTATGTACATGATGATGGAGCAGTTACAATGCCATCAATGAGTGTTATGCAGACAAAGTGATTCATCTTAACCTCATTCTATTTTATCTGTTTAAGTTACATTATTATCTGTGTCGGGAGCAAAACAATGCTACCAATGTGCATCAGCTGGAGATGCTGATTGTGCAGATAAATTTAAACCACGAGACTCATGGAAAATGGATGTTAGTGACAATGACAGCTGTATGGTGAGTTTCCTCAGACCATGGGCAGACTATCGTTGCTACTATAGATTGTCTTGGCTTTATACTTTTAGAAAACAAAAACAGGCGGTTTAGTCACAAGAACAGGAACACCTCTTTGTATTGCGGTTAAAGGTGTTAGTTGGTGTTGTAGTGGAAATCTTTGTAATACTGCATCAGTTGTTAGTCCACAAATGTTAATGAAATGTATTGGTTTATTATTGGTATTTTTAACCATTCGTCGATACTGATGATATGAAAGATGCCAGTACAGGTCGAAATGAATTCAAAAAAGAATAAGTAATACACGAAAAAACATACTTTTCAAATTCCAACTCATTCTGTAGTTTTTTTCTTTTCTTGTGGATTTTTTAATAAATAAAAATATAAAATCAAACGATTATTGTACACGAAACAGATAGTCAGAAAATCGGTTGACAATGCTTCATTCGGTAGAATATGAAAAAACAACAACTTATTTTACTCAACTAGCCCATTTTCTAGTTATTTCCTAAAATTGTTCTTAGACGGCTTATATAATTATCGTTATCTAATTATACCGTACTGTGAAATATTAGAGAATCACACTTATTTCTCTTTTTTATAGCGGTTGGGAGTTTTTAAATTAAACGTCAACTTTTAGTGTTGCTGTTCCTAGATCATATTAAACTGGTATGTTCCTAATAAGTGGAACATACCGTTTTTTAAATTAATCTTTCATACAATGGAATTTAGACCTCATTCATATCCGCCTGGAAAAATTAGTTTCATTCGTGTTTCTGAATTTATTATGAATATACAAATATATTTTAGAAAATAACTATATATTCTTCCTGAAATTCTTGAAATTCATTCTCTGTTTTTCCAGCCTGGATTCGAAATTATGTGTCAGAAAAACGTCTGAATATCATTAATACCCAACTATCACATCATCAGGAACTGTAACGGTTCCGGCCTCTCAGTATTTTCTATTTTTCTCGTGTTTCTTTAGGGCCCAAAAGTTAATGTTTGTCTAAAAAAATGCACTTTGTAAAACCAAAGCCTGCTTTGAAAACTTTTACATAAGCGATGGCTTGAAACCAAAAGTCTACATGCTATCGAAAACACAGGAAAGGTAGAATCAACTTTCGGTCTGAAGAATTTATGTATATATATTTATATATAAATAGCATCGTACCATTCTCAGTATGTTACTTCCCGAATTCAGACCATATAGATCAGGACAGAAAAGTCACATAGCCACAATATCTTCGAGTTCATTAAATCCGAACAGAAGAATATTGGAACCATCTGATGAGACCGTTGAGCATCGGTCGAAACGCGTCATGGTAGCTCGAACCAAATCGTCCTCCTATCTCACCGAGAACCGGAAGATATGGCTTTTCTTCTCCACTGGAGAGATATATATTAAGACCAATGTGTCTCCGTGGGTAATAAAAGCCAAAAAATTGACTTCCCGTTAAAACTGGAGTTCCATTGTGATACTTTATGCCCCCTGGATAATGGAGAGTAACTATCATGTTTTCTGTTTCTCATTAAACATGTGACCCACCGGTGGGTCACATCGGGTTGAATGTGTTAAATTTTTTGAATTAAAAAATATGTGAAATTACAGAAATAATCACTTTTCTGACAAACGTTTTGAACTTATATCTTCGAGTTTATGAAAATTTACAGTTTTCACTTTTTAAAGTAAAAGACTCAGCAATATGTTTAGCATAACTTTTTGCACACTAACCTGATTCTGAAAAATCTATTTTCTCAAAAACGTGACAGAAAGACCACCACCTCTCAGTTCTAGCCTATTTCTGTGAAACCATAAAAGCAAAAGTTTTGAAAAGAGTGTAGAAATATAAAGATTGCCATTCGATTCATCTGATATTTATTATTTTCAGCTCAAAATAAGCAAACGAAGAAAAGCAGAAAAAGTAAGTAAAAGTGAGGTTTGAGCCTTCGTCTTTCTGCGCCGAAGTTCCAAACACTACCGCTTGGCTGAGTCAGTCGTCTCACTAGGTCATCTCTGTAACTCAGAGACACGCTGCCACGAGGTCACTGACCTACTGATGCAACAATTTTCTCAGTGGGTAAAGCGGATCCGTTTCCATGGGTCACTCAGTAGGTTACTGACCTACTCTATTTTTTACAGTGTACGAAACTGTCGATTTCATTTTGAGATTATTTTCCAAATTTCAGCAGAATACAGTGGCGGCGGACCCATTAGGCTAGGGGAGGCCTAAGCCTCCCCTAGAAAAGGAAGAGGAAGGCTTGGGGAGGCTCAAATATTTTAGAAAATATCATAGATCTCATCTTTAGTTTACATATGGTGAGCAAAAAGAATTTTGGGCCTCCCCTAGACTGAAATCGTTCCGCCGCCACTGGCAGAATATTCATGATATTAGAATATTTTAATTTTCTAGAGGTGAGGAGTGACATCAGAATAATTTTCTGTTCAGTTTCGCTCCGGATCAAATTTTGAACAAAAACGGTACAAATATCACTAGAAATATAAATAAAATATAAAAACGTTACACTATGGAAAAGAATGACGGGGAAAAAGAAAATGACTGTATCGATGAAACACAGCACCAAAATGTGAATGAAGAAGTTGAAATGATAGTTCTTAAGCGCTTGAAAGCCAAAGTAACTTTCATGTGACGATGTGTAGGCGTTTGTAATTTCAAGTTTAAATTGAGACTTCGTGGTAGTATTACTTTACATTAATGTAAAATAATATTACCATGAGGTCTCAATTTAAACTTAAAAGAATTCTTTATACGACAGTTTAGCTTCATTTGTTAAAAGTTGTGAAATATATTCGAGACGCAAGTGATCTGACCATTTAGCTTTTGTAAGTTTTTGTTCTATGTCTTCTAGTCAGTGTGATACATTGTCTTTACCAGACAACATTTTTGTATTCTTGATAATACCTTCAATTTATATTTTTTGAAGATAATAGAATATTTTCACCGGATTAATTGATTCTTAGAATTTAAAGAAAATGAATGAATAGATGTTGTAGATAGATTTGTTGGATTTTCTGATATTTATTAGAGAAGAAGATTTTGTTTCATTTTGTACGATAGAAGAAGAAGAATGACGGTCGATGTATTTTAGACGAAAAGACGTAACGAAAGAGGAGTCAACAAAGTTAGACAAATTTTCATTAATTTCTTTTTGATACATCACCCAAAATTTGATGAATCCAACATTTTTTAAACTTCTTCTACTCATTGGTGTTGCAAATAAACTCCATTTTCATTGTCATCTTCTTTCTGTTGATTATTGTGTGATAATAGAAATGCTACTGTTTTGAATGATGGATTTATTTTTGTAAGTTATGGCGGTTGAATAAAACAAGTTAAATTAGTTTTAAATTCATTCCAGTTTGTTTTAAAGAGAGAAAAGATTTGATCGTACCGATTTTGTAGAAGTTATATCCAAAAAATCATAAACAAGAGCAAGGTATAATCTTTCTTTATATTTTAATTTCTCAAAAGCTGATTCAATTAATATTATCCAAGTTGAGAGATTATCGTGGATGATCAAGAATTGGAATATCTGTAAGCAATGTTTCTTCCGTTTGTTTGAAGTTGTCAATACTTTTAATTTTAATAGTAGTGGCTAGTGTTGCTGTTCAATCGTGCTGAGAATTATTATTTAAATCAGATGAAGTCAACGACATTGTTGAAATAATAGAAGAAGTTGAAGGCAGCGAAGATGTGGTAGTTGTAGAATGAAATGGTATAACAGAAGTAGATGAAAGTATAGTAATAGGAGTAAAAGATTTTATTTTAGACGATGTACCAGATGATTTAGTGAGTGGAAAGTCAGTGAAAAGATTAGAGTTTTTTCAAATTTGTATTCAAAGGAAGTGAACGGCTCATTTATCATGATAACTTAACTATTAAATGTAGCTGTGTATAGATAATTCAGATGGTATGTTTGCGATAAAGAATTATAAAAGTTAATAAGCAGAGATTAAATGAAACACGGTAAAAAAATTAATTCTGATTCTGGATACCTTAGATTAGTTCTCAGTTCGTCCCACCAACACTTCTCTCTCAATTCGTCCCATATTAGTTTACACTTAATTAGCTTTAAGATAATTGTTCGTACTTCTTGAGTACGGTGATAAATATGTGTATATAATAAATAACAGCAATATCAATGAAGACTTTGGCGGTATCTGGTTTGCATGTGTGTGCTGATTCGTTTCGTAATAATTCTCACATCGTCTGTACATAATGATATTGTATTTGAACATATTCGATTCCGACACCGCCATTGATTATTTGTTTTGTTTGCTCGCGTTTTGGTGTATTGATACCCATTACGATTCAAAACTGGTTTATCTTTTTCAGTAGACGTGAAAATTAACATTTTGATGAACAAGACAGTTTAACTTATTTCGATTTAAATCTGTGATATTAGTGGCTAACACGACACATTTTGCCACGTACGCGCACCTAGTATTGCCTGCAACACCCACCGTCGCCGTCTAAACTGTTCGATGGTACAACACTTTATTTATTTTGAGACGCGAGCATAGATATCTGGGACGAACTAAGAAAAAAAGCTTCACGGGACGAATTGAGAAGTCAATTTGGGACGAACAGAGAGGACATCATACCTTAACCGTAATACAAAACTGTTTGACTTACGTTACTTAGTAAATAAATCTAATTTAATGTAAATGAAATTTAATGTTGTAAATCAATGAATGAGCTCTAATGAGCGTACAGAAAACGCAGCCGTTGATGTAATGAATAATAATAATAAGATTGATGAAGTTGTTCTGAGAAGGATGAATAAGAACGGTCCTAGTAACCGTGAGAATAAATAATGATTGAATAGAAGACAAAAAAACAAAAAGATAATAACGGGAAAGTAAGATCAAACTAGGAAGAAGAAAAAAGGATATATGAGCACTATATAGAAACACTTTGCGATAAAGGAGAATTAAAGCACAGAATGGAACAAGTATAGTGGATGAATACGTACAATTTTTATTACATGTCTTATCTTCCGCAAACACTATATTTTTACTTTTTACACGATAGTTTCTGCAATCTGGCAGTATATTTGAACTCAAACTTTCTAGATCAGCCAATATATTTCAGCTGCTGTTAAGTCTTTATTATACGATCAAAAAGTACCAGAATAACCTATATTTTGATTCAATAAAATTGTTCTAAATTATGCGAACATGTTGCAGTTCCTGTTTCAGATGGATGATACTCTGAAAACACAG